AACAACAATGACTGAGGTAATCCTGTCGAAAAATACGAATAACACTTAAAAATCCAAAAAAGGTTGCTCCGGAATTGTGTGAATCCGGATATATATTAGTCTCTGTTGTCAGATAAATTAGAGACGAAACCTACACTCAATTGTCGCCGCTCTCGAAGATCCCACGTGCGCACCGTGTTATCAAGTCCTCCAGTCCATAATTTAGAACCGTCCGAAGAGATCAATACAAGAGGCTCCCTCTTGATGTCCCGGGAGCGAAGTGACCTACAAGGAATCGAATCAGCCCTATTGCGGGCATCTGACGAGTGACCAGCGACATGTACTATTCTTGAAGTCGTACCTTGGTTTTGGATTCGATATCCCACACAACAATATTTCCATCAGCACAGCAGGCAAACAGCAACTTGTGATCATGCGATAATGCTAAAGCATAACAAGCTTGCGACTCGCTGTCCAATTCTGTGCGAATGGTGCCCGTCTGAAATGAATCGTCGTCAATATGAGCTGGTCCCGTACGAAACGAAGCGAAAGCTAGTTAATAGTCGCGATTTCTTAGAATTGATGGCGAAAAGGCTGGCCTTGAAATTGGCTCGTTGACGGGCCTCCCACATTAATCATTACTTGTATGTCGGAGAATTTTCTTCTCGCCGACGCGTGTGCGCAGCGTGGAGGCGCGCACGGAGACTCATTAGAAATAGTTCTTATGTTCACGTAGCGCAACGACTTCTTATAATCATGATAAGCGAGGAAGATGAACCAGATTGCGCTCATCACCACTAATCAGATTGGGTCGACATCATCATGTTCTGCTCGCATCGAAAATCATTCACGTGGGAGTCAGCGCAGTCTTGTGGAAAAGAAACCAGCGTATATCTGTGGGAATATTGGTCACTAGAGAAAGACAAAAAAACAGAACAGGTAAGGCACAAAAAAGAAGAGTATGACATGAAATAATCGGCATACCTGCAAATCCCATATCGTGATTATGTTAGCTTCACCACCAACGATAAGGCTTGTACTGTCTGCAGTAAGTTTGCATGATCGGATATAATTGCCCTGCAGGCATTCCAACGTTGATACAGGTGTTCGTAAAGTTTCCGGAGTACGAGCGATATCCCAAATCTGAAAAGAAAGTTTGAAATTGGTGAAGCAGTTATTAATCTTGAAAGTTGAAAAATATTTTTTATTTTAATATCCGCAGTCGCTTAGATAAAGCACCAATCCCGGTCAAAACACCTAACACTACTCACTTTTAGAACCTCTGAAAATATAAAACGTGCTTAAATTAACTTTCTAAAGCTTATTTTACATGAAGAGTATTACCCGAAGGAGAATTCATGCCAAACTGGTAAGATAAAAGAATATAACACATATGATTTCTGGAAGTTTGAGCAGATATTCGCCTTTGTGACAAAAAGATTAATGGGTAGTTCGAATAGCGAAGACACTTCAAATCCCAAAACAAATAATTTCATGTGTGAATGCTCTCAAAGTTAACGCGTTACCCGTTAAGCAAGGTAGCTTAACGGGTAAAGGAAAGATCAAACAGAAGCGCGAGCGGGAGACATATTCACCAAACCCCAGTTAAAATAAATTTTCCACGCTGCGCGACTGAGCCAGACGACCGTAAATCATTCACTACTAAACGTAACTTCTCAAATTCAGACGCACACACACAATTTCTTATCTCGCGGCAGCGGCTAAATTTGGCTGCTGTAAGGCAACGCCAACCATCTTGCCATCCTTTGCCAACGGGGTGGATTGGTAGTGATAGTAATGTGTATTAGGTGCGTGACGATTCAATCGTGGCGATGGCTAGGTCGCCGCGCCAGCCGCCGCAGCCCGCGATGCGACGTCGGCCGTGGCTAGAATTCAGGGTTCTAGCATTGGGGAATGTAGGATTAGATGAAGTTTCCAGTCGTGAAACACGGTATATGATCACCTGCCCCCTTAAAGTACAGGTTCCTTGTCCCTTGCCAAATTTTCGTCATCTATACTAATGTTAGTGCCTTCCTCACCGTTCCACTGCGTCTTGGAACGTAATATTTTCCGATTTGAGCCAGATTATCGCTCTCTGATAACAATTCAGGCAGTTGATTAATAAAGAAGTCAAATTATGTTCAAAAGGACAACCTTTACATGGCACAAGCTCTGTACAGTGAGGCTTAAATAACTGCAAAGATCTTGAGGGAACGCTTGTCTGGAATTCTCTATTTGTCTTCGAAACCTAGAGCAGGATCAGCTCAACGTCTATTTTACTCCATAATTAAGGCAATCCTTGCTCAGGCATCTTACACAATATTGCCTTCCTTGGATCGCTTTGACGTCGCTGGAGCTCAAGGATGGGCTTGATCGTCAGATATGCACTTAATTCGGGGCTGTTGGAAATCTTCTCCAGGAAGGGTTCTATTGGAAGGAAACGAATGACCATTGCGGAAAATGCTGTTGTTTTTATGAGAATGTCTTTTCTCGCATCCTTCAGCAATTCAGTAAGCTAAGGTCATGCAGCTTGGGCGAGAAGTGCCGAAAAAGTGTACTCGAAGTTCGAACTTCTCGTTTACGGATTTGCAGCTAGTTTTGTAGTTCTTTGGAAGTATCCCGGGCTCTGCAGCTGGTGGTGGGAAAGGGTCAGGATTTCTCATTACCATTTGGCATTGAAGAGGCTTGGCTTAATCGGCTTTCCACCGCCGAGTCTCCAGGCTATATCAGATTTTTTGCAAAGTTGTTTATTGTGCAGGACAACGTGTTGAACGCATGGAGGACCCCGTATGGTGCATCTTTGTTACAAGCGAAGGAATCGTCGTCTGTGTTATCGTGTGATATAGCCAGTGACGACTCGCTGATTGTGACAGGATCAGGCGAGAAGAAGGCAACCGTCTACGAGGTGACTACATACACCTGAGCAGAGATCCCAATGAATACTTCTTTGGAGAGGCGGCTTCTATAAGGCCGTAGTAAGTTCAAAGTCCTTGGCATGTTCGTTCAAGGTTTACTTATCAATTCTTGTCATTCATGTTGGAGCCTCGTTGTTGATTGTTGGTGCGAGTACATCATGTAGCGTCAGAATTGATTGTGTATGCCCAATCTATTTCTTTTTCATCAGAAGTTCTTTTCCATGTTTCATACTTTATTATGATTTTTATGATAATTTAATTTGATGGTCTTCTTTTTATTGAGGTGAGTACATTGTTTTGGTTTCTTATGTATTCGATCCTCATCATCGTATCAATTGCCCTATTTGTAGCATTCCGCATTTCAGTATAGTATTTTTTATTCAGCTTGTAATCCATTGGTCTTTTTTTGGTTGACAAATTACATTTTTTTGTTCATTACTCTTTCTTGAAGTCGTATTTTAATGATGGTTTTACCGATTGGTTCAATCGATACGTGTTGCGGGCGCACTCCACGTGCTTATGATGATGATATATCGATTTATCCCTGTGCCGCATTCTCACTTCCGTTGTATCTCATTCTTTTCAAGCTTACGTCCAAAAAAGGAGTCACTGACATCGTCGTTTTCTCACTCGAAGTAATTGTTTCTAGCCAGTGTGTATGGCGGTTTTCCCTTTGAATTACTGCGGTCAATGTGATGGCGCGGAATGCTGACGATCGGCTCTGATTGCGGTGACGAGGATGGAACATCAATCTGGGCGTGGTTTGTGGTGCGTTCCGGTCGCACCAGCGGCTGCGAATCGTCCCGCAATCACCGCACTTGGTGTTCAATTGTTGTCGTTGTGATTGAAGTCGGCTGTCTTTTCAAAATGTCTCGCTGTGATGGTCATGAGATAAACTTAGCTGTGCACCTTTTGTAACCTTAATACAAATTTGAAATAGGTTGCTTTATGGTTAAAAAGAAGTCCACTGAAGTGTCGGTATGCAAAGTGTGGAGTTTGGTTGAATGTCTAAGGTACTATTGAGAGGATCATCCAGGGAGAAATTGATCAGCAGAAAAAAATCCAAAAAAAGTTACAGATTGACCGCTGAGCTAGTGTCGCACTTTCTTTCAGAAGTTAGAAAACCCTTTTTTCACCATATGTCGGAAAAATTCAAAGATGTGTAGAGGGAGCCGGTGATCCGATTTTGACGACCGGATATGTCGGACAGTCTTTACGCACCTACTCAACGCGAATCCAAACAAGGAGTCTGAGCCTCATGATACTTCGAAAGTCCGAGTGTGGAGCATGTGTATCGATTGTTCGAACATTCGATAGTGGCGGTCAGACGACCAACTCTGAAAGCGTCCTATACTCTGAGGTGCGACATCCTCACGCTGCGACGTCTGGTCAAATGAGAGTCTACCCCATCTGACGCGATGTCGCATCGCGATTTTTTGGCCCACATTGAAAACCATTCGTGTTAGTGGTCAGAAATTTTGCATGCTTGCCGCCTTCTATCGTTGTTTAGATGTATTTATAGGTCTCTCTTGAGTGATCATTCGATTGAGAGCAATTCATAAATGATGCAACCGAATCTTCATTCTTTTTAGACATACCTTAGATGCTAAATGTTGCAGTTTCTGTCAGAAGCGCATATTGTTCCCAGATTCTTTGCATGTCGACCAGGAAGCGTGGGTGTGAAATCCTTGTAGCACTGCTATAATTAGGATGTGCGTCGCTAGGACAAAAAGCGACCTTAGCCCAGGTCCACTGATCACGGGCGACCCCAAGGCTCTCGCAGCAAAGAAGTTCTTTTTGCGAAAAACGAAAAGCTGCTTCATCCTACACTCGTATAATTAGTCTCTTAAATGATATTTAACCCACCCTAGTTGTTAATACAAGGTGGCCACAATTAAATCTAGTTCTGAACCCAATATTGCACTGTAGATTTTGACCAGGGAATCTTTTGAAATTCCCATGGAACTTCAAAGAAGAACACAAAGACACACATCAATAGAATCTTGAACGCTGATTACAAATATGGACACTAAAACTGCTACGTGAACTTTGTAAGAAAGTTGTGAGCCTTAAAAGTTGCAAAAGAACGCTAATGATGAGGTGCAACCTATGTGGAAACACGGTTGCTTTTTGCCTGGAACTTGTTCTATAAGGGTAAATGGGTGCCTGATTACGAATATGAGACTCGTTCGCGGCGCAAAGCCACAGCACTGTGATCTATTTTTGAACTTTGGAAGGAGGCATTTAAGCCTCCTTCCAAAGTTCCATGGGAAGTTCAAAGCATTTCCTGGTGAATGTTTGTTTTAGTTGGACCACATAAAATGCTATGATTTCGGATTCGTCAAACCTTCACCTCTTCACGAAACAAGCAGTCATTTGCACCGTTAATTTGTTTGATAGGGCTACATGGCAATGACCCCGAGTGTCCGGGAAACTTCTGTATACCAACATTACAATACTCATGCTGGGTACTAACAAGGGAGGTCGTTCAGGGTGTGCCAAGCTTTTTCAAAATGGTTTCTTGCATGACATTGGGGCACATGTGGGGACCACAGAACCATGGTTCATTTTTCCTGAACGGCCCTCTGAATACCAGAAAAGGGGGTCCCTAGTTCGATTCCTCGTGGTGACAAATTTTTGCATTTCGAGTTGACGTTCCAAAATTCGCGCAAAATGGAGTTAGCATGAATAATTAGTACCATATTCATGATTAGGACCGTCAGTAACCCTTACAAATAGACTTTGATTGAAAAACTGGTGAAAAAGGTGTGACTAGGGACCCCCTTTTCTGGTATTCAGAGGGCCGTTCAGGAAAAATTAACCATGGTTCTGTGGTTCCCGCATGTGCCCCTATATCATGCAAAAGACCGTTTTGAAAAAGCTTGGCACACCCTGAAAGACCTTCCTTGTAAGACGACCGGTCTGGATATGGGAGAAGGACTACTAAGGTTATCAAGAGCAATGATAGCGAGGTACGCGCGAATGTGCGACAGAGTCCTGTGTGTGAGTTACCCGTTGGGAAGGTGAAATGAGAAATATTCGCGCTCTGTCAGAATGATCTTCGGTTTCTATCAAGAGGAAGCCGTATAAGCATGGAACTTTCCAACTTCTGATTGATGCGGATTTGCAAAAGAGCAGCGGTGAAAGTTTATGCTGTTCTCGATTTTGTAATAGGCCTTATTTCTCAATCGTTTTAATTATTGAGAAAAGGTTTCAATTGATCCACATGAAGAATCTAACCGCGCTAATTTTTAAGCTGACTTTGTACTCGAAAGCACTTTATAGTCTGCGGATACTGGGGGAAGCTGTGGGAGACAACGAACAGAATTTACGGGAACTGGGCTGGCCCGACCGATGCCCAACCTCGTGTGTAAGTACACGGTGTCCGTTGTGTTCGTGAACTTAAGGGCAGAGATACTCCCAGTTGAATGACGGCTAAAAAGAACTTACGCAGGATAATCACTGGCTCTTAGACAAATACAGCTGACGCTGTCCCGGAACAGCAAAGCAAAAGATAGCGGCAAGTCCGGTCTGTATCGCAGAACTGCGTGATTGAAAATCACTATAAAGGGCGATTCAAGTACAGACCTCTATATTCTATCTCATCATCAAGTTCAGGGATCACTGAACGTAGTGACGGCTTATCATCTGTAAGACGAGAGCCTTCGCTCTGAGCGCCGTTCAACTACTTCGAAGAATGAGTTAAGAATTCGCTCAGGAATACTTTCAATGAAGCTCCAACTCACCCTATTCTACATGCCATGGTCAGTGGATTACCTAGGTGAGGGTCGCAGAACTTTTGAAAAAGTGCGAACGTGACGGTTCACCATGCCTGTTAGTTCTCCATCGGCTAGTCCGTCGCCATAATATTTCCTCTGGGCAGCACTTGTCTCTTAGAGCAGTTCCTCCCATACCTGGAGTGAGGAAGAAGCACCCGTTTTTGGGCCCCTAGTATCCCCTAGTACGAGCGTGTTGCACCCAAGCACACAATTTGAGAAAAATAGCATTTTTATGCATCTCTTTTGGCTTCGTTCACGTCACATTGCTGTGAGAACGGTAGGACTGCGCAGTCTGCAACGCGTCTGCTTTGTTGTGGCGTCGGCTGTTATCACGTGAATGGTGCTTCCGTAGCTCATGATAGAAACAGTGTTCCAAGTCGATGTCCTCCGAGAATTGCAGCACGTCGATCAGTTTCGATGGCCTAGAACACATGTCATCACGGGTGCAAACAAGTGAGCTTAACTGCGATTAAGACTCCGGTGAAGTTCCGACCACTAGTGGATACCGAATTAGCTACTTGTGATGGGAGGTCAGTATGTAGATGTTATAAAAATTGACTTTTCGGAGAGTATTGTGCTCGGTGTAACTGTAGTTTCGGAGGTTTTTCAAAGGCAAAGGTCGCGATTAGATTCTCGGAAAAATTCGCTCAAGGCGAATAGTAGCACCATCAATTAGGGGTAGAGGGAGGGGTGTTGGTGCTCGACGCCACCTCAAAGTGTGAGATAAGGGACCTACGAATTAGGTTGACTGCTGCGACCGCTGCCATCCTCATCAATCGCGGCACACGTCGCGTTAGAGCCCTCTGCGTACTTCATACCCTCTCGCGTTTCCTCTCCTCGCGCGTGTTGTATCTCCGTCATACTACGGCCGACCTCATAAGGGAAAATTCAGTATTTTCGATAGTGCTTTTTGGCTCTTTTACCCATGCTCCTCATCGCACTTCTTGTCCGACTTAAAAAATACACGTCGATTGGATCCCGTTCTGTGCCTTTAACACACACGCGGTTAGATCGTCAGAACAATTGGCGCTATCGCATTACCGGGGACGTCCTCTAGGACTAAGCCCAGAAGGGAGCAGGAACTTTTGGGAAAATGAAGATTGCGCACGCACCCTGGAGTCTCTCCTTCTGACAAGGCTCAGTCCCGACATAAAAAATGCGATTTTTTTTACACCACGATTCCAAATGCGTTCCCACCACAATGACCCAGTACATTGCGATAGCGCCGAACAATTCTCTCCATGAGTGATGTGGCAGTCCCGCCCAGAAGTCGTGGCACTGTTGCGCTTGAGAAAGCTCAGCAATCGCGATAAAGCCCTTGCATGAGCCCTGCGATCGCTGGGCCGATTTCGTAAGCTGCCTTCTCAGTATACGCCACATAAGGAGCCGATGCCTGCGTCTTCTTATACTGCATGTTCTGTCGCGTATTTCTCTCCTCGCCGCGCTGTGTCTCTCTATCGGACCACGGTCGACCTCAAGAAAAGGAGAGGAGAGGAAAATACTCGATAGATCGTTGCAGCTGACGTTGATGATCGTATTGGTTGTACATATCCTCGAGGACAAATCCCCTGCATTCATATCATCACCCTCCTTTTAGCGGTTTGAGCTTGCATGGAGAGCTGAACGGTTCCTATAGAGTGCAGCCGTGTCGTGCCCTCACGAATTGTAATCCCGTAATCAAAAGGATTTATCAACGTCAAATACTTCAATTTTTATCCTTTTCCAGGCTTATTCAGCAGGCTGAGCTGTGAGCTGACTTCACACCGAGCATAAAATGAGCGATTTCCACTGTCAAAGCATGTTCTCGCTGTTTTACAACACGCGTGAACAGCTGATCAGCGATTTCCGGACATGACTGCTATTCATCAAACATTGGCGTATTGCTGTCGAGCTTCGCGAGACGTTATGGATGTGTGCGTGTTTAAGCAGACGCGAGCAGCAGCAGCAACGGCAGCTGCTTGCTATTGTTGCTAAGCATCAAGCAATCACTCACAAAGTGGCTGATCGGACGAAGATGAAGTGCAACAATCGACAGCGGCAGCGTGTCCTCCAGAGAAAGTCCATCGCAAAAACCGCATGCGTATGTTGAAGAAATTGCTCAGGTGAGTGATTAGGGGCCAGAGGGATCTCCACTTAAAGAGCCAGTTGCTGCAGATCTCAATGTGGTATTTGTTGTTGGTGGTCCATTGGTCATCTAATAGCTTGGTATTCCATGAGACGCTTCGCCCAGGTGCAACCTATGGATATATGGCAGATTCGGCTAACCGTCACGTCACTCGTCGTACTGCGCTGCGAGAAAACACAACCATTGCTTATAACATGGCCCACCTCCCGGGGCGGAGTGTTTGTGTAATCGATTCCATCGGGATACGCCACGCATTTGGCCTTCACTGAGGAATAAATTTTGATGCTCAATGCCAATCCCGCCGTATTTTGGCACCGATTGCACGAAATCAGACATAAGAAAACTTGAAGCGAATTTACACCATCTTCGATTCGCTGAAGATGGGGTCAGGATTAGAGGTGCGCTCCAGGGTTATGGCAGAAAGGTGTGCAATGGGGGTTCCAGTTAATCGGACACCATAGCGAAGGTTGATGGTTTTATAGGTTGACCACTTGTGTGCGAGGCTAGGAAAGGAGAGGTGGTTTCTTGACGCCGTGCACACTTGCAGGTAGAACTTGAGGGCAAGTTGGAGCAGACTGCCTCACAGTGTGTGTTGTGCGGCGCCCAGCAGACGCGTAAATTTAAATAGCAAGGTGTCACGACGTCGCGAAGTGACCTTTTGCTATACCCCAGTGATCGAAAAGTAAACTCTTTTTCCTACCCTAGGTGACACTGTGCTTATACCTCAACCACCACTCAATTTCGGAAGGGTCGCATGAGTGATGCGAGATAAACTCTCCAAGGGGTGCTGTATGTGTATGTATTGCTCTTACGAGAAACAGAACCGAAACCCACTTATGTGGAGGTTTTTCGATCAGAGGTGCCTCTTCGAGACGGCTGGCGCTACGATCCTCCAGATCCATTTCGTCCGCGAATTTCAGCATTTCCATTGTTTGCGGCTGGAACGCGATCGTGTCACGCCTCTCAGTCAGTACTGCTCGTTCTGCGCTCGCTTCATTCATGTACTGAAAAAGGGCTTACAAGAAGTTCGGTTAAAGAAACGAACTTGTAAGAATGACTAGATGAAAAAATAAGTTGAAAAAATTCAGGATAGATAAAAATGTCTATTTGTAGCGGATTAGTCGTAGTTAGCGAGGAGGGTAGGGTTGAAGTGCGGTCGGAGTCCCACATGGACTGCTCAAATAGTAAGCTTAAAGTTTTTGTTTGAAAATTTTCGGTCTATACATAAATAATTTACAGAGTTGAGGGCGAGGTTTCAGGGCGGGGTTGGTGGTCCATTGTAGGCGTTATTTGTGAACTTTCAATTTTTAAAGGCTATTTTTCAGCCTTGTGGGTGGTTCAAGATAGCAAGTAGGACTTTCGTTAGACCATAACTAGAACTGACATCAAAATTTCAGAAATTTTTTAAAAAGCGTGAACCTGCGGAACTCTGTTGCTAATTGAAACCTCTGCCTTACCCGCAAGAATATCCAAGGAAGTGATTCGTTCTTTGTCTGGATAGCGTCGCCGAATCTCCTCGATGATTTTCAGCAGCTCCTTCACTTCTACCTGAAATCGCCAATCATAGGTCACATAAAGTTCTCATAAATGGTCGTATTGACTGCAAACCTCAATCTGCTCCTTTTTCGGCTTGCGTTTGAATTTGATTTTCCTACCGAAGTAGTGAATTTTCAGGAAGATGTCTTTCAGCTCGAGCGCGGCCAACTCTGCGCACATGGATAACACAGCCACTCCTTACAATGGAAGAATTAACATTTTAAGAATAGAGGAAAGTTTCTTCAAAAGCAAATCCTTTTTTAACAAAAACTAGAGGTCGTGCCCAATAAAAGCGGACTGTTGGAAATGCCTCAGCGCGACCGTTCCTCAAATCCCTCAAATCAAGAACTTCAAGCACTCCAGCTCTTAAGCCGCAGAGGTGGCACTAATTCTGCGGCTGCCGACCATTCTACCTCACGAATGCGAATGATTCCTCCATAAAGCTAATCGTAGAATGCGATTTCAGATCCGATCGCTTAGTGTTTTGGCTAGCCCAAAATGTGTTCGACAAGTACTGAGTATTTAGAGACTCATCCATCCACTTTAAAGGACGAATTCACGATGGAAAAGCAACCCATTCCAAATTAAGGTAGAGATGGTGAGTGGTACACGAAAGAAGGCGAAACCATGAGAAACGGCCCAGAACCCGAGAAATGGGACCCCTTCCTTGCCCGTTGATTTGAGCATTGATGCGACTCTCATCGCTGTGCCCTCTTCAACACTACGCTCTCTCAGCTATCTAATCACTCGCCACGTATTGAACTGCGGCGAGTGATCAG